GAGGGGCAAATTTATCACCTTTATTATTTGATACATGGGCATAGCAAAGACAACCAAAAACCCGTAGTTGACTATACAGTGGTAACTTGTCATATAACAACTCATAGGGGCTTTTATTATTTAACACAGGTGTAGGCAAGCGATTGATTAAGTACCCCGCGGTCAAAACACACTCCCCCCAAAAATCAATGGGCAAGTTTGCATGAAAACGCAACGTTCTAGCCATTTCCAAAATATGTCTATGTTTTCGTTCCACCCTTCCATTCTGTTGAGGAGTGTATTCACAAGATGTTTGAAAAATTATCCCATTATTCAGGAAATATTCTTGGAGTCCTATAAATTCTTTGCCGTTGTCACTTCTAACCACCCTCACATTTTTGTCAAATTGTCTATTAACCATGGCAAAAAACTGTTTGAGAATAATTTTAACTTCACTCTTTTCTTTCATCAGGTGTACCCACACAGCCCTAGAAAAATCATCTACCACAGTCAAGAAATAACGAGCACCACATGAAGATATAGTACGGTATGGACCCCAAATATCACAATGTATCAATTCAAAAGATTCAGCAGCTCTAGTACTACTAGCAATAAAACTATCACGCGTCTGTTTGCCTCTTACACAGGCATCACACGTTTTATTTTGGACAGAATTCAACAACGTTTTATTCAAATAACCAAGCGAACGTAAAACTTGTGTTGATGGATGGCCCAACCTTGAATGCCACAAAATTCTCGAGTCCGAACCTCCTACAGCAAGTGCTTGTGCTTGTTCCAGACCACGGAAATAATAAACTCCACCTCGCCGTTTACCCACTCCAATCGGCATCCTCGTAAGTAGGTCCTGTATTACACATAAATCATTAGTAAAAAATATCTCACATTTTCGATTATCAATTAATTGCCCCAAAGAAACTAAATTACATTTTAATCCAGGGACTAATAAAACATTGATCAACTTCATGCTCCCACTGATTGTGACATTTCCTACATGCGTTGCCCTAGTTATATCACCGTTCGACATTGTCACTGCCACCGGCGATATTCCGACTATCTCCGTCAACATGTTGTTATTCCCGGTCATGTGGTACGAGGCACCTGAATCGAGGATCCATTCATTAGTAAGCTGCGTACCTGAGAGCTTTTCTTCTGTACTTGCGGCCTTACAGTTCTCCATTAGCTTGACAAACATATGCCATTGTTCATCAGTGAAGCCCGGTTTATGCATTGTCGTTTGTTTTCCTCCTTGCAGTCCATGATTCTCTGGTTGATAGTCTCCCACGTGCATGGCTTGCACGCCTCCACGACCTGCACCTCGTCCATCACCTCCGCATCCGGAACCTCCACGGTTAGGTCCAGCCCGTCCTCTTCCTCCACGGCTCGGTCCAGGCCGACCTGGGTTGTCGTGCCGGGTTGGGTTGTCGTGCCACCAGTCGGGGTAAACTCCAGTCCGACGGAAACAGTTTTCAACTTCGTGACCTGTCTTATGGCAAAATGTGCACTTCACGCGGTCTTCCTTTCCGGCGACAGGTCCGAAACGTGCAGCAAACGCCACCGCTTCGGTTTTTTCTTCTCTTTCTCTTGTCAAATTCTGGAGCCGTTCTTCTTGTATCACCAAGTGATACACTTTGGTCAGCGAAGGCAGGTCATCCGTCCCCAGTATGTTGGACCGCAAAGTCCCATACGTTTCTCTATCATGACCCATCAAAAAGTCATGAATTTTCTCCGATTCCACGTGTTTAAGGAATAGTTTTTTGAGACCACACGTGCATCCATTGCACTTACACTGTGGAAAATTCCGTACACCATCATACTCTTCCCACAGGGTATTCAGCTGTCCGAAATAAGATGTGATCGATTGACCATGCTGCCTACAGTTTCTAATCAGTTCTTTCAGTTCATGAGTTCTCATAGCATCACCTACTGAAAAACGAGCCTCCAGATCGATCCAGAGATCGTGCACGCTTTCCATATATGCAAGATTTCTTCTCAAGGTCGGATCCACAGAGGTCATAATTCATCCTACCGTCATGGAATTAACGGTTAACCAGTCCTCCAGATCCATCGGCACACCCAGAGGCAGTTCAATAGATCCGTCAAGAAAACCCATCTTCCGCTTTGCACGGAATGCGTTCTTCATGGCCGTACTCCATTCCCGATATTTTTTCTCTCCCTTGAGAGACACTGCACAAATCACCATACCCGGGTGATCCGAGCTCGAAAGAAAATAAGGTGACGAAGGGTCGTTAATTTTCCTCCGTTCCAAGTGATCACGGTGGCCGTCTCCACCGCTGTGGTTGGTTTCTCCGGCCATATCGACGTCGCACGAGCGTGATCGGTCAGTCCCGAATCACCGCTCTGATACCATGTAGAAAGAAAGAATATGTGAGGAATATTTTCTGTATCTCCTATTGATCTCAAACGTATGTGCCTCTATATATACAAAACGGTCTGCCGCATGCTTAGTAAACTACGTACCAGCCATGCGTGGCATTAGGAAAGAAAATCAAGAGAATTAAATGCTATCTACTTTCCTAGTCTAACACTACGACCAATTACGTACAAAGGAAAGTTACATAGAATTATGTACATGATAAATTAATAAACTAATTATGTAGGCTAACATGGGCGATATTACATGTTGCATCCCATTTTTAAATCAATAATGTGTACAGCACATCAATTCAAAAAATGTGAAGCAATGGTGTGCAAACTCAAATGGTAAAATACTGAAATGAGATGCGTTCTTTAATTAATTATTTTGAAAATTGGATGAAAATGTAATATCACTCAAAAAGTGAGAGGAAAAATAAAATTCTCCGTTGACGATTTAAAAGCATGATCGCTGTTGAGGCATGTATAGGGGTGGACCGGGCCCGGGTCGGGCCGGGCTCCGGGTCAACATTATACATCCATACAGGCACGGCATCAGCCCGGGTTAGAACCGGGACCGAGCCGGGCCCGGGTCAGGTATAATTTTTTTTCGTGTCTTCTCAAATTAATTCCAACCCCCCCCACCCCCAACCCCAAACTGCCCAACCCCACAACCTAACACCAAGTCCAACTCGAAGGAAAAAAAATTGGCCCAGACCGGTCCCGATCCATCATTTTGCTAGCCCGGAGTTTGCTACATTATTTCCCAGGTTCAGGCCCTAGTCCCAGTCCCGGCCGACCGGTTCGGGCCGGTGCTGCACAGTAACGGGCTAGGGCGGGTCCCAGGTCGGGTCGAACCGGCCTAGTCCACCCCAGGCATTTATTAAATTAGCTTGTTTGGGCTAATGATTGTATAAGGTCTGTGATGTGCCCATAGTGGTCGGAAGCTAATGAATGTGTGTGTCAATGAATAGTTTATGTAATTCCTGGGCATTAATCTCAAAGTCCTATTGAGAGTCTCTTTCGTGTTCCTATTTTTGGGTTTATTAGATTTATCAACCATTTTTTCACCAAACATGTAACTTTTTATTCACGCGTTGAATTGTGTAATAAAAAGAAAAAGTAAGATTTGAGTGATCTTTCTGGCTATATTGGTTGAAAATATTGTAGATGATCATTTTAGTTTTGTCCCGTATTATTATTTCCTTAATTTATTAGTAAAATATATTCTAAATATAATTTTTTCATAAACCACCAGAATGAGCTAGTCTAATCACTTCAGTTGGATCTTTATAAATTTCAGCAGAATCGACCAACACAACCGTCAACCGATTAGGTATTACCAAACGGGCTCTTAGTAATTTTAAATCTGTTGAATGTATGGAAATGCTTGAAACAACTGAATCGATAGAATCTCCTAAAAGTTTGAAAGAAATTAAAATATATCACAATAAATTCAAGAAAATTGTCAACTTCAGCAACTTCACTTAGAGAAGTTTATTGCGAAAGGCGGGAGGGGGGGGGGGGGGGGGACACCTTGTATAGTAAAAACTATAAAAAGCGTGAAAAGAAATGTCAACTAGAGAATTAATCATAAAAGGCGTCAAAAGGCATAAGCTTGAGCGTGAAGGGTGAAGTTTATGCATAAAGAGACGGAAAAATATTTTGATAACTTAATTTTTGCAAAAAAAAAAAAAAATGACATAATGGCATGGTGTCTGCGATGTGCTCATAGTGGAATAATATTATTTATTTTTATCAAAATGGCGCTCTCATGAGATGTGATGGCGGCACACCTATAGGAGGACATAATGGTGTGGCGGCTTCATCGGAGGGTGGAAGAGTCCGTCTTGTTGGAGTGTCATCTAATCTAAAAACTTTATATTATGTCAATACAATCTATGCATAAGAAAGTGTACATTAGTTTTAGAAAGTTGTTCCTATCTTTTAGTCTTCCTAAAGTACTCTTACTATTGCTTATTCCGTATATTGAAAAGTGAGACTATCGTAAATGTATAAATGCTTATACATGCACATTTGCCATTTTATATCCCAAGTATCGGAGATAAGATTTTTTTTAAAGGAACTAGATTAATTATCATTAGTCCAATCAAACAACATATCATCCATAATACAACTCGGCGAGAAAAACTCCCAAATGTGGCTAACAGACAAAGATCAAGCCAGTTTTGCTAATGCACGAACAACCTTATTTGTTGAACGCCTAACAAAATAAAATAAAATATTAGAATAAACCAAGCTGGTGTCTTTGATATCTTCCGCAAATAATCCTTCAACCGAAGGATTTTAACCATTCAAAATCTCCGTAATCGCTAGAAGAGAATCATATTTGATCACCCAAAAAAAACGAATCCTTTCTTTTCACCCAGCTCAAAGTTCTCAGATTCCCATCATTTCAGTTGCTAATAGGGGAGAGCACGGGTCGGGTTCGGGCGGGTCGGGTCTGCGGACATCAAACCCGTTCGGGTTTTATAATGTAATTATAGAACCCAACCCATGTAGTTTGGATATCGGTTTTTTCGGATATTAGAAAGTCGGGTATTTTCGGGTTTCGGTTCGGATATCGGTTACATCGGTTATGCTTAAAACACTTTGAAATTGCATCATAACTTTTCAAGTACAAAATTAGAAATACAAAATAAAAGTTGGTTCATCTTGAATTAGACGGTACTTAGACAGTACTTAGCAAAAATTAGAAATACAAAACAAAGGTAATTACAAACCAAGCTCCCATGCATATAAAATAACTAAGTAATTAGACAGTACTTAGCAAAAAAAAAAAAGATAAAGTTTTCTCCAAAGTTTACAGAGCATAGCAAAAGTACAAAACTGGAAAAAAAGGTACAAAGGTATGATTTTCCAGTTTTCAGTAGACCATAAGATGACATCTTCCATTCTTTCAGACTTCCACAACCCCACAAGTACTCAACTAACTCAAGTCCCACACATTTGATTTTACATTTTAATCCTGCACATTTATAAATCACAAATCAAATTTCATCAATGAATAAATGCACAATCACAACTCTCAAAGTTACTAAATATTGGTTCAGATTGCTTCTTATCAATTCAAAATAGATTGGGGGCATCCAAAGTGGACAGTGGTAGGTTTCAAGTCATCTCATTATGTAAAGATACATTGGAGGCCAAATCCAAATTACCACCAACCACATTTAATACCAACCCAATCTTATTTCAGTATATGGTGGAAGCTTTCATCATAACCAAAATGGGAAGAACCAGATTTACCAGAATATATCACAACAGACAAATTTAAATGAAGAAGCAGTTCAATTGTACTGGAAAAGAAAGGGGCAAATGAGCTTCACCAGAAACTGAATAGGGGTTGTGGTCAGTGGAAGACATCCAACACCAAGACTTCCAACACATTTTGTTAATTCCAACACTGAATAGGGCTTTTAAAAGTAAAACTTGTAATAAATAAGCAAACCATTAAGGTCAGTGGTGAAGGATCCACAGAAGATCCAGAAGCATTTTCAGTAGCAGCACATGTCCCATTAATTAAATCTGGGAAACATACAAACATCTGTTAGACTATGATTCTGTGAAGGCATACTGAAAATAAATATACATTATTAAGCACATGTAAAAAATAAAATAACCTGTTTCCAGCCTCTCTTGGACCTGGATTCAACCGGTTTCCTCTTTTGGCCAGAAACAGCAGGTATATCAGTTTGTTGAGTGGTATCAGTATTCTCTACAATGGGAGCTTCCACTGCAGGTTCCTGGCTTAGAGGAGGTTCACCAGATACAGGCATGGTAACACAATCTTGACCATCCATCTATATTAGTAAATAAGTAATTAAGTACACAGAGGTAGATTAGGCTTCCACCATTAAGCTTTCACAATTTATCAAAACACAGATGTATGAGGGTCAAATTTTTATTCTTTAAGTTCATAAGGATGCAGTCTGGAACAATCAGCAAGCTGATTTACAGAAGAAGTTAAGCAGTAGGCTTAATTCTTCCCTACAGACTAAGAAGAACCAATTGACTCTTACTACTCCTTTAAGTGTTAGAGTCACAGAGGTAGCTTCTTTAATATGCAACAAATAATAGAGGCTTCAAATGTTTACCTTCCACACTTTACCTTTCAGAATACACAACAGGGCTAAGACTGAGGCTTCATGCCTCCATCATCATTCATTTACCTTTCTCATATGCATATTGAAACATAAGGCATTGGGGCTCCATCAGCATTGACATATGCATAATCACACATTAGGCAAACAGTTTTAAGAATTCAGAACAAACCTAAGTTCATCATCATTCACATATGCCTCAGCATACAGCTTTATGAATTCAGAACAACCCTCAGGCTCCATCATTCATCATCATTCATGTCACGCCCCGGACCTCCCCGGACACGTCAACAACCCGCCGTACGATACGAATAGTCAACCGCAGTCCAACACATTCATATTATACAAGGCGTCATGAATATCATTCACACATAAGTCATCCATAAACATACATAATAAACAATTGAATACGCAGCGGAAAACATTGTTTAAAACAAAAGGGCCACACAGGGCAAACATGAGCACGCAGGCTCTAAAGTAAAATATCCATGAGCAAGTTTAATATTATTTAAAAACAGAATGGAGGAAGCACGAACCAAGTCTTCTCTCCAAGGAATCACTCGATCAACGAGCACAGGAAACAAGCTCTAGCCTCAACCTGAAATGGTGGTGGGACGCCCCCGAAGGGGTCAGTACTCTATACGGCTATAAAGTACTGGTGTGGCAGGCATCTAATAGATATACAACAAGTATTTCAAACACAAGACCCTCAAGTAGGGTGATAGTACATTATGATTGTAACCCTAAGTTACCCCGTTTAAAAATATACTTACTTTATATAAAAGTCAAGTAGTCGGCCCGTGGGCCCGTTTTCATTTGGAAATCACCATTCCCAACCCCGTGGCTATAAGCCACGACAACTCCTAGAGTCCAACCCTAGTACATGACATTGTATTCTAGAGCTCGGCTCTACCACATCACCATACAATTCATATACCTCGGGTCAATTTCCCTACCTTGCGTTCTAGAGCTCGGCTCTATCACATCACCACGCAAGTCCTAGAGCTCGGCTCTAGCTATACAATACATAGACTCCAAGTCTACACCTTACATGCATTCTAGAGCTCGGCTCTATCACATCACCATGCATTAAGGTCCAATTCTCAAGCAACCCTATGCCTAGAATTGACATATCATTAAACTACCATGGGTCATCCTTAAAGACTCCCCATAACTTAACCTTAGTTCCATACTAAGTTATCATATACACTTGAACTACATTCAAGTACCTTTCATACAATCCAATCCCTAGGATCAATTTAATCAACAAGTTCCAATAATCACTAACTAGTATTCCAATACTATTAAGATTATTGTTATCGTACCATTATCCTCATTGTTTGTAATTCTCTACATATTTATAATTATGTAGCAGCAACTTAAGTATTCAATCTCAATACACAAATATTCATTTATGTATCCACATGATTCATACATGAGCAAAATGCCCATTTTCACAAAATAGTTCATTTATACTCATTTAATCTCATATTATTCATACTTTCTCAAATCATTCCAAATTCATTCTTTGGCAACTATATCAATATTTCATCAATATATAGTCATCATAATCCATGAAAAATCATGATTTAAGCATTTAGGTAATCTCATGCTTAACCTACAAGTTGTAAGCAATTAGATGTCAATCCTCACCTCAATTGAGCTTTAAACTTTCCCTTCTTGGTCCAATGGTCAAATCTTTGGTCAAGGTGGATTTGGGACTGATTCCTTGCTCAAATATGAGTGTTAAACAGCCTCCTCAAAGTGCTAGTTCAACCCTTAATCGTTGATATGAAAACAGCCCCTAGAACGGGTGTTTTCCGGCTAACTCGATTCCTAGTTTTCCAATATTTGCATCTAGGTTAGTATCTAACCTTTACATCAATAAGATAACTTTTTAGGGACATATTATACACTTGGATTAGTGTATAATAGTCTCACCAATCGTTCATATCATTTGGAGAATGAAAAGTAAAGCTTTGGGGTTAAAACTCACTTTAGAAGATTAAATCCTCTCCTGCGAGGTTGTGTTTTGCTCGGACGATTTGGAAGCCTTCCACAACTCCGATTCCTGCAAACCAGACCTTCACGGATTCCTCGTCTTGAGAGCTTTCTGTGGGTATCTCACACGCCTTAATTGGACTTGTAAAACTCGAGATATCGACCAAACAGTCTCAGCACTCTCACAGCTCGAGTTCACAGACCTTTGCTCGTTCCAGCTCGATTTTTGCAAGATAATCCTTCTCTCCTCGAACAAAGACCACTCAATTGAGATAATAGACTTCAAAGTCTATCCAAGGACACCTCATACACGTTATTTGGTTGAGGATAGCTCCTATAATGAGAGGAGACAAACAGCACACCAATTTGTGCGAAAATAAGAGTGGTGGCCCCAAACTTTGATTCTTATCAAGTCATGTGCAGCTCTTCTCCATAATGGCCGGCCAAGGTAAGTCTCCTAACCCATTTTTATTTGTTTTGCAGGTACTAATACCATGTGGAGTGGTTCCCAATTGATCCCATTAAATTTGGGGTCCAAAATATCTACCAATACTTCCAAAAATGGGAAGATGGGTCCTATTGTTTTATCTTTGTCAAAGATGTCTTTTTGTACTCATCCTAATTTATTTAGAACAAGTCAACTTCCTAAATCACATTATTGATCTCCAATATGTGTAGGCTCATCCCAATAATTTACACGATGAAAATTACAAAAGAATGCGGGTTTGAACAATACAATATTCAATCATGTACTTCGTAAAATATTAATCGTTTCTCCCATTGTTTTGCAATTGGAAATTCAATACATCACTTTTGAATTTTAAATCGAATTTTCAAGGACGTTCGGGTGCGGTGTCACAAGTTCACCCCCCCCTTAACAGGAATTTCGTCCCCGAAATTCACAGCTCTACTCGAATAGGAAAGCATACTGCTTCCTCATCAAGGCCTCCGTTTCCCATGTCTCTTCCTCGACCCGATCGCTCTTCCACAGGACTTTAACCATTGGGACTTCTTTGCTCCTCAGCTTCTTCACCTTTCTATCGGTGACTTTGATAGGTTGAACAGCGTAGTTCAAATCCTCACGTACCTCTACAGGTGGCTTCTCTAGTACGTGAGAGGGATCATGCACATACTTCTTAAGCATGGATACATGAAACACATTATGTATCTTCTCTAACTCAGGAGTCAACTGTAGACGATATGCAACGGCCCCAATCCTCTCTATAATTCTGAATGGACCTATATATCGTGGGTTAAGTTTTCCTCGGGTTTGGAACCGAATGATCCCTTTCCAAGGAGAAACTTTCAAGAATACCTCGTCATCAACCTTAAACTCTAAGGTCCTTCGACGCTTATCCGCATAACTCTTTTGCCTATCCTGAGCCGCCTTGAGTCTCTCTCGAATCAACTTCACCTTTGACTTGGTGACCTCAACCAACTCAGTACCCTCGAGTTTGGCCATGCCAACCTCATCCCAGCATAATGGTGTACGGCATCTCCTCCCATACAATGCCTCGTATGGAGGCATGCCGATGCTTGCCTGATAACTGTTGTTATAGGCAAACTCCACAAGTGCTAAGTGGTTGTCCCAACTTCCTTGGAACTCTAATGCGCAAGCCCTCAGCATGTCTTCTAAGATCTGTATGACTCTTTCAGACTGCCCGTCCGTCTGTGGGTGGAAAGCAGTACTGAACTTCAACCTCGTTCCCATAGACTCCTGAAATTTCGGCCAAAAACGTGATGTGAATCGTGGGTCTCTATCGGATACAATGGTCACTGGAACCCCATGTAGCCTCACGATCTCATCCGTGTACAATTTGGCTAACCTCTCGAGTGGGTAAGTAGTGTTGATAGGTAAGAAGTGTGCACTCTTTGTGAGCCTATCTACAACAACCCAAACTGCATCATAATTCCTGATCGTCCGTGGCAACCCTACCACAAAATCCATAGTCACGTGTTCCCACTTCCATTCAGGAATGGAAAGTGGTTGCAATAAGCCCGCTGGATGCTGATGCTCTGCCTTAACTTGTTGACAAGTAAGGCATCGACTGATATATTCGGCTATTTCTCTCTTCATACCTGACCACCAGTAACTCTCCTTCAGGTCACGGTACATCTTCGTGCCCCCCGGGTGCATGGCATAAGCCGATGAATGAGCTTCCTCTAAGATGGACTTTCGGAGCTCGTCATCTGCCGGTACACACACTCGGTCACGAAATAATAAGAGACCGTCATCTCTTTCTCGGAAGTCCTCCACCGGTCCCGCTTGCATGCGTTCCCGGATCTTCATAATTTCTTCGTCGGTTTCCTGACCCTTCTTGATCTCATCAAGTAAAGTGGGTCTCACCTCAAATCGTGCCAATAAGGCACCATCGCTGGTTACCTCCAGTTGGGCTCTTAATGCCCTCAAATTAGTTATCAATGCCCCAGACGAGCTCTTCCGGCTCAAAGCATCTGCCACCACGTTTGCCTTGCCTGGGTGATACTCTATCACCAGATGGTAGTCTTTTATCAGCTCCATCCACCGTCTCTGTCTCATGTTTAGCTCTTTCTGAGTAAACACGTACTTCAAGCTCTTGTGATCAGTGTATATGTGACATGTCTCCCCGTAGAGATAATGTCTCCATATCTTCAGTGCAAATACCACTGCCCCGAGCTCCAAATCATGAGTAGGATAATTCACCTCATGCTTCTTCAATTGTCGTGAAGCATAGGCGATTACCCTCCCATTCTGCATCAGTACACATCCGAGCCCTTGAATGCTCGCATCGCTATAGACATCGTACCCCACACCTTGTTTGGGTAATGCAAGTACCGGTGCCTCAGTCAATCTCTTCTTTAGTTCCATGAACCCTTTCTCACATTTGTCATCCCATACAAACTTAGCTCCTTTACGAGTGAGCTTCGTCAATGGCGATGCCAAAACAGAGAACTTTTCCACGAACTTTCTATAGTAGCCTGCCAATCCAAGGAAACTACGAATTTCCTTGACGTTCTTTGGCCTCTCCCATTCAGTGATGGCTTCTATCTTCTTGTTATCAACAGCAATCCCCGATTCCGAAACCACGTGCCCGAGGAAGCCAATCTCCTTTAGCCAAAATTCACATTTAGAAAATTTGGCATAGAGTTGCTTCTCCCGTAGTGTTTCAAGAACAAGTATCAAGTGCTCCTCATGCTCTTCTTCACTCTTTGAGTAAATCAAGATGTCATCTATGAACACAATCACGAATCGATCCAAGTATTTATGAAATACTCGGTTCATCAAGTCCATGAATGCCGCCGGGGCGTTTGTTAACCCAAACGACATAACAAGGAACTCAAAATGCCCATACCTTGTGCGGAAAGCACTCTTTGGTATGTCATCTTCCTTAATCTTCAATTGATGGTACCCCGACCTTAAGTCAATCTTCGAAAACACGGTTGCTCCTCGTAGTTGATCAAACAAGTCATCAATCCTAGGCAACGGATACCTATTCTTGATTGTGACCTTGTTCAGTTGACGATAGTCAATGCACATTCGAAGTGTCCCATCTTTCTTTTTCACAAAAAGAACCGGTGCTCCCCACGGGGAGTGGCTTGGTCTAATGAAACCGTTATCCAAAAGCTCTTGCAATTGGGTTTTTAACTCGTTAAGTTCAGCGGGTGCCATCCGGTATGGCGGTATGGAGATTGGTTTGGTACCAGGCTCGACCTCGATCACAAATTCAATCTCCCTGTCAGGTGGAAGCCCCGGTAGGTCTTTAGGGAAGACATCCGGATACTTACAAACCACCCTCACATCATCGATGTTCGTTCCCTCTTTGGTTTTGTCAACCACGTATGCTAGATATGCGTGGCATCCCTTCCTCATCATATTTCTCGCTCTCACGGCGGATATGATACAACTATTTGATTTGCCGCGGTCCCCCTCGAAGCGTAGGGTGTCCCCATGTGTGCCTTCGAGTTCCAACACCTTTGTGTAGCAATCTACCCTAGCATGATGCTTTTCTAGCCAATCCATCCCTAGGATTGCATCGAACTCCATCATACTCAGCGGTACGAAATCACACGTCAAGGTTTGGCCACCGATTTCCACCATACAAGATGGATAGTAATTGTTTCTTTCAACGTCTTCCCCTAGTGGGGTTGATACCACTAAGGTTTGTGTCATTGGTATTGATTGCATCTCTAAGCTCTCGGCAAACGCCTCACTCACGAATGAACGTTGCGCTCCGGTATCGATAAGGATTCGTGCATCCTTCCCATTAATCTTTAATGTTCCTACATTTATACACCATGTAAGATACCTTTTCTAATGGTTTAGGACACTTTTTGGAGGTTAATAGGTTCATATAGATGTTCGGAATCAAACGGGGGTCCAATCGTAGAAGAACGAGAGGAAAAACTTAGGTTTCGGGCGGCTGGGGTCCACGCACGGTCGTGCGTGGGACACGCACGGTCGTGCGTGCATGGAAAAAAATTCGCTTCCGGCTACTGCCGGTTACGCACGGTCGCGCGTACCCGGACACGCACGATCGTGCGTCCACGCACGGCGTGCGTACCGGCACGCACGGTCGTGCGTCCTGCGCGAACATCACCCGGAACCACTGCCCCCTACGCACGATCGTGCGTGGGGTTGGACGCACGATCGTGCGTCCCTGTTTTTGGTCAGTTCTGGCCCGAATTTCGCCGTTTGACCCCGTAATGGCTCGCACTCAATCCCTATGACTTATGTCATCAATTTATGGATTAACTATGGACAAAATACAATTGTGCAAGAGGCAATACCTGCAACCGAGTCCGGGTTGGCTCGAGCATCCGCCTCCGTCATCGCATAAACTCTAGCTTGAGTTCTTCCTTGATTCACGGATGGCGCGTTGCTCGCACTCGCTCCCCCATGTCCCCGGCTCGCTTGAGAAGCTCCGGTTTGATTCCGTGTACCCGTCGGGCCACTGCTCGGTCCCGATGTCCTTGTCCCACCCAATTGTGGGCAATGCGCCTTCAAATGCCCGGCATCCCCACATTGAAAGCATCTAGGGGGGTCGCGACATTTACCGGAGTGGTTCCTCTTGCAATTGTTGCAACGAGTTACCACCGAGGTTTGTGACCTCGAGCCTTGCCCACTCGGGCCTTGATTCCCCCTAGACGGTGGCGGCGGTGCCCGGAAAGATCCTCCTCCATGGTTCCCCTTTTTGTTGGGACCTTGGGAGCCATGACTCTCCCATTTTCTCTTTTTCGCCTCCTCGGCGTCTCTCTTCTTCCTCTCCTCCCACTGTTTCTCCCCCTTCAACGCTTGGTCAACCACTTGGGCGAAGGTCATATTTGGCAATTGTGTTGCCCTATCACGTATCTCCAAGTCAAGGGCGTCCCAAAAGTGGTTCACCATGCGGTTCTCGTCACAAGCATACTCCGGTATGTAGTCGGCGAGATCCCGGAACTTGTACTCAAGCTCCTTCACTGACATGTTACCCCCTTGGGTTAGGAGGGTGTATTCCCTCACCTTCTTATTCACCTCGAAATCAGAATAGTATTGGGCAAAGAACTCCCGTTGGAAGTCCTCCCAAACGACGGTCTCACCGTACTTGTTCTTGGTTCCATCCCACCACTTGGATGCCATCCCCTCGAGCAATCTTACCGCAATTCTCAGTTTGAGATTCGGCGCGATTTGCATGTCAAGGGCCGCTTCATTTAGCCTCTTGATCCATTGTGCTGCCACTGAAATGTCCCCTGCTCCATCAAAGGGTTTGCACCCCAAATCTCTTGCTTCTTTGATGTATTTGGAGATCCTTATGGTTGGACCTCCATCATTTTGGCCTCCACGTGGTTCCACATGGACTCTAGATGCACCATGACTTCCTCCTCGTGAAGCCATGCCCGAAGGTTGCCCAGCCCGGCGCCTTCGGCGTTCCCTCCTCTCTTCACGCTCACGGTGATATTGTTGGAGTAGTGCCTCAATCCGCGCTAAGGAGCCGTTGTCCTCCTCATCACTTACATCATCATCATCCCCTTCATAAGGGGTTTCAACCGGCTCTGTTTCCGGCCGATAGGTCGAGTCCTCATAGGACCAGTAGCTGTCACTTTCGGTGCTCACATGACCGTCACTCACGGTCCGTGATTGGCCTCCACGGCCCGCTCCTCCAGATGCCCTAGAGGTCCTACGACTGCCTTGCCCAGTCTCCTCGGGTGCACGGCCCAAAGGGTTCCTCCTAGTTACCTTGCCACCACGGTCCATTTCTGAAAGAAATTTGGAAAGAGTCGTTAGACTCGTATCAAATGTCAATTGACGGATAGGTACTTAAGACACATTTTGGCTCGAGTCACCGCCATACCAATTGCTAAGGGTACCATCTTAACAATTAGAGACCTTGCAACCCAAGTACCAAAAGCTCTCCAAGTACAAAACTTCTATGCTCATGGTTTTCAAAATCTTTCCAAAAAGAGAATTTTGAGACTTCATTATGAAGTTTATGGACTAAGTCTCTGATACCAACTTAATTGTCACGCCCCGGACCTCCCCGGACACGTCAACAACCCGCCGTACGATACGAATAGTCAACCGCAGTCCAACACATTCATATTATACAAGGCGTCATGAATATCATTCACACATAAGTCATCCATAAACATACATAATAAACAATTGAATACGCAGCGGAAAACATTGTTTAAAACAAAAGGGCCACACAGGGCAAACATGAGCACGCAGGCTCTAAAGTAAAATATCCATGAGCAAGTTTAATATTATTTAAAAACAGAATGGAGGAAGCACGAACCAAGTCTTCTCTCCAAGGAATCACTCGATCAACGAGCACAGGAAACAAGCTCTAGCCTCAACCTGAAATGGTGGTGGGACGCCCCCGAAGGGGTCAGTACTCTATACGGCTATAAAGTACTGGTGTGGCAGGCATCTAATAGATATACAACAAGTATTTCAAACACAAGACCCTCAAGTAGGGTGATAGTACATTATGATTGTAACCCTAAGTTACCCCGTTTAAAAATATACTTACTTTATATAAAAGTCAAGTAGTCGGCCCGTGGGCCCGTTTTCATTTGGAAATCACCATTCCCAACCCCGTGGCTATAAGCCACGACAACTCCTAGAGTCCAACCCTAGTACATGACATTGTATTCTAGAGCTCGGCTCTACCACATCACCATACAATTCATATACCTCGGGTCAATTTCCCTACCTTGCGTTCTAGAGCTCGGCTCTATCACATCACCACGCAAGTCCTAGAGCTCGGCTCTAGCTATACAATACATAGACTCCAAGTCTACACCTTACATGCATTCTAGAGCTCGGCTCTATCACATCACCATGCATTAAGGTCCAATTCTCAAGCAACCCTATGCCTAGAATTGACATATCATTAAACTACCATGGGTCATCCTTAAAGACTCCCCATAACTTAACCTTAGTTCCATACTAAGTTATCATATACACTTGAACTACATTCAAGTACCTTTCATACAATCCAATCCCTAGGATCAATTTAATCAACAAGTTCCAATAATCACTAACTAGTATTCCAATACTATTAAGATTATTGTTATCGTACCATTATCCTCATTGTTTGTAATTCTCTACATATTTATAATTATGTAGCAGCAACTTAAGTATTCAATCTCAATACACAAATATTCATTTATGTATCCACATGATTCATACATGAGCAAAATGCCCATTTTCACAAAATAGTTCATTTATACTCATTTAATCTCATATTATTCATACTTTCTCAAATCATTCCAAATTCATTCTTTGGCAACTATATCAATATTTCATCAATATATAGTCATCATAATCCATGAAAAATCATGATTTAAGCATTTAGGTAATCTCATGCTTAACCTACAAGTTGTAAGCAATTAGATGTCAATCCTCACCTCAATTGAGCTTTAAACTTTCCCTTCTTGGTCCAATGGTCAAATCTTTGGTCAAGGTGGATTTGGGACTGATTCCTTGCTCAAATATGAGTGTTAAACAGCCTCCTCAAAGTGCTAGTTCAACCCTTAATCGTTGATATGAAAACAGCCCCTAGAACGGGTGTTTTCCGGCTAACTCGATTCCTAGTTTTCCAATATTTGCATCTAGGTTAGTATCTAACCTTTACATCAATAAGATAACTTTTTAGGGACATATTATACACTTGGATTAGTGTATAATAGTCTCACCAATCGTTCATATCATTTGGAGAATGAAAAGTAAAGCTTTGGGGTTAAAACTCACTTTAGAAGATTAAATCCTCTCCTGCGAGGTTGTGTTTTGCTCGGACGATTTGGAAGCCTTCCACAACTCCGATTCCTGCAAACCAGACCTTCACGGATTCCTCGTCTTGAGAGCTTTCTGTGGGTATCTCACACGCCTTAATTTGACTTGTAAAACTCGAGATATCGACCAAACAGTCTCAGCACTCTCACAGCTCGAGTTCACAGACCTTTGCTCGTTCCAGCTCGATTTTTGCAAGATAATCCTTCTCTCCTCGAACAAAGACCACTCAATTGAGATAATAGACTTCAAAGGCTATCCAAGGACACCTCATACACGTTATTTGGTTGAGGATAGCTCCTATAATGAGAGGAGACAAACAGCACACCAATTTGTGCGAAAATAAGAGTGGTGGCCCCAAACTTTGATTCTTATCAAGTCATGTGCAGCTCTTCTCCATAATGGCCGGCCAAGGTAAGTCTCCTAACCCATTTTTATTTGTTTTGCAGGTACTAATACCATGTGGAGTGGTTCCCAATTGATCCCATTAAATTTGGGGTCCAAAATATCTACCAATACTTCCAAAAATGGGAAGATGGGTCCTATTGTTTTATCTTTGTCAAAGATGTCTTTTTGTACTCATCCTAATTTATTTAGAACAAGTCAACTTCCTAAATCACATTATTGATCTCCAATATGTGTAGGCTCATCCCAATAATTTACACGATGAAAATTACAAAAGAATGCGGGTTTGAACAATACAATATTCAATCATGTACTTCGTAAAATATTAATCGTTTCTCCCATTGTTTTGCAATTGGAAATTCAATACATCACTTTTGAATTTTAAATCGAATTTTCAAGGACGTTCGGGTGCGGTGTCACAATTCACATATGCACAAATCAATTAATCATACATTAGGCAAACAGTTTTAAGAATTCAGAACAACCCTCAGTTCATCATCATTCACATATGCCAATCATACATCAGGCATACAACTTTATGAATTCAGAACAACCCTCAGGCTCCATCATTCATCATCATTCACATATGCACAAATCAATTAATCATACATTAGGCAAACAGTTTTAAGAATTCAGCACAACCCTCAGTTCATCATCATTCACATATGCCTAATCATACATTAGGCATACAGCTTTATGAATTCAGAACAACCCTCAGGCTCCATCATTCATCATCATTCACATATGCATAATCAATTAATCATACAGTAGGCAAACAGTTTTAAGAATTCAGAACAAGCCTCAGTTCATCATCATTCACATATGTTGATATGCACAATCAAACATTAGGCATACAACTTTGAGAATTCAAGAACAACCCTCAGGCTCAATCATTCATCATCATTCGCATATGCATACTCATACATTAGGCAAACAGTTTTAAGAATTAAGAACAAACCTCAGTCCATCATCATTCACATATGCTGATATAATGATATGCATAATCAAACATTAGGCATACATGTTTAAGAATTTAAGACAACCCTCAGTCAGTCAGTCCATCATCATTCACATATGACATATGAATAATCATACATGAATTACATTAGGCATACAACTTAAGAATTCAGAAAAAAACTCAGGCTCCGTCAGTCCACCATCATTCAAACATTAGGGTATTAAGCATGAATTACATTATCATCATTACGGTTTAAGAATTCTCAATACTCAGACTCTCAGAGTTCACATTTCAAATATTTCAGCAGAACCTAGAGACAACATATTAATATATTATTAAGCATGAACACATCAACATCATCATACATTCATTATCACTCGCCAAATGTATAAGGGTATTAAGCATGAATTACATTATCAACATCATCATACTATCAATTTATCAACACATAACAAATTCACAACTGAACCGTAGATATAATTTATTCAAATACCTTACGGAGTTAGGTTAAGAACTTCCACCAAATAGGGCTTCGAATGATCGTAGACCGATTTCCACCGATTAGGCGATTAAGGTTTCAATGCATGTGTGTGTCTGTCTTTCTGTGTCAAAGACTTAGAGCTTCCACCAAAATACCAAATACGAATATAGGAATATAGGATTCAGAGAGCCTGAGACTCTAAGAGTCTGAGAGTCTGAGACTGAGAGAGCCGAGAGGAGAGTAACTGTCCAAACAATTGAAGATAGAAGATGAGAAGAGACTAGAGAGAGGACTGAGGATAGAGCGTATGAAAGATCGAACTATCGAAGAAAGAGGCGGATAGGGTTTGGGATGGGAAGCCAGAGTTATAAGTGTATATATACATATATAAACTCCAAAACGACGTCGTTTTGGTACTTCGGATAATCGGGTGGTTCGGGTCCGGGTTTTATAAACCCTACCCGCAGCCCGTTAACCGCCCCAAGCCTGGCCCATTTTTCGGATTCGGGTTTCCGGGTCGGATATCCGTATCCATTCGGATAAAATCCGAAAAAAATTCGGGTTTGTCGGGTCGGATCGGTTCTTGCTCAGCCCTAGTTGCTAATGGAGAGCATCTACCCGTCCCTAATTTTGCCCCACCTGCAACAAAGTCCCCCTGCGCACTCAGACCACCCAACCCAACCTGTACGACTGGTCAGAAGTAGCAGCGTCAACATTCACCTTTAGCCACCCCTCCTCCGACCAACCCCATCGCTGGTCTTTCCTCCATGAAGTTGATACAGAATTGCTCCCATTCCTCTGAACCGAACACCAACCTTCCACAAAACTCCAACCTTTATGCATAAATTGATAATGAAGAAGCCCCCCCCCCAAACACGTCGATTCTGCTCGGACCACAACCCCCAACAACCCCAAGCAGTTTTTTCGAAGATCATCTGAATTCCTATCATGGAAAACTGTCTGAAGCCATCCCAAGAAGCTAACATGTGATGAGCTCGAAACCTCCCAACCAACCGAGCGGCATGCCTCCACCGCTATTGGACAAGAAACAAAGAGACAGGAAAGAGATTCATCATCTGATCCACTCCCCACAAGCCACACTTCTCCATGCAACCCACATGTCGTCACCTGAGATTCTTCCTCGTCGGCAAACAGTCATAACATGTCTGCCAAAATAAAGTCTTGATCTTGGATGGAATTTCCCAATTCCAGAATGTCGTCCAGCCTTTCCAACCACCCGCCAGAAAATCCCCCACTAGCCTCCGGTAGCAACTACAAACAGTGAACCTACCACTTTGCTCCCCTTTTCAGATTATCTGATCTGGAGCCTGTCTCCTACTCAAAGGAATGCTGAGAATAAAGTTCCCATCTATTTTATTAAAAATATCATTTAAAATTTCGTGATGTCACTCGCTTCTTGTGTGTGAAAAGAGATTTGATACCTTTATTTCTTTTGATCCCTCCAAAATAGAAGTTGTAGTCTTGGAATGTGTAACATCAGGCAACCATAAGAAGGATTATTCACCAATTTTGCTATGATAAGTCCCTTTTGGATAATACTGGGCTCTAAAAACTCTGCCACCAAGGTGTTTGGATATGTGAACAACCTGCATGCCTGTTTAGCCAATATTGCAATATTAAATTGCCGAATCCACCGGAAACCCAAACCCCCAAATTTCTTGGGTCGACAAAAAAATTCCCAATCCCTCCACATGATGCCTCTTCCTAGGGGTGGGCACGGTCCGGGACGGTCCGGGATTTGGCTTATCCCGATCCCGTCTCGGTTTTATAATAACGGTCCGGTACTGGATAAGTCTTTATCCCAATATTGTCCCATTTAAAATGGGACCGGGACAACTCGAAAAAAACCGGGACGGTTTGGGATGTCCCATAATATATGCATTTGTGAAATGTGATATAAAAATAAGCATAACATCAAAATAAAGACGTAACTATTTTTGCAAATTTAGCTTCCCTAAAAAGTACAATTAAGTAAAACCTTTAGTTAACTACTTTTAATTTTTGTCTTGTAAATTTTTTTGCCCCCCCTAATCTTGTGTTTTCTCTAGTAGAATATATAGTAGCGCAAAATAATTTTATACTTTTGTAGTATACTTGTAATTTTCCAATACCACTTTAAATTAAATATCATATCTATAAAGACACTATATATATTTTCTATTAGTTATTTTGGAAAATATTAAATCTATAACAACACTATAATTTGGAGTAGTAGTTATTCCATCATAAATAATATTCTGCACGTAATAATATATTATGGATTAGTATTGGAATGAGAACTAAACAAATTTTAATCAAAAGAAACAAAAGAAACGAGACTAAGAGAGACATAGAAGAAGATAAAATTACACTAGGGAGACTAAGGACTACAACGTTTTAATTCGGTTTGGCTATTACATAGCATTAGAAATTTAAAATAACATATTAATTCAAACGGGACACCGGGACGGGACATGATATTTTATAGCTATCCCGGTCCCGTCCCGGTTAATATCGGTGCGGGACCGGTTCGGGATGAAATACTTGCGTCCTAAATGGATCGGGATAGTTTCGGAACGGTATCGGGATTTTTCGGTTTGGGACACCGGGACCGGGATTTTTGACCACCCCTACCTCTTCCTGAGTTACTAGTCCACCAATAACCATTCATAAGTCCATTCATTTCATCGGGAGTAGTTTCTGAAGATGATTGCGCTGCTAGGGTCTTTGATCGACTCTTAGTGATAGGACCTTCCATATCTTGACTCGAGCTTGCTGACACTCTAGAATTCAAAGTGAACATGGGCTTGATTGATGTCATTGGTTTGTTTTCCAAGATCAAAGTGAAGAGATGAGAGGTAGAGTAGTCTCACCGGGCGTACCAAAATATTTTTTTTTTTACTTAAATTGATCACAAATAATAATATATGAAAATATTAAGTTCAATCTCTAAATATGAATCATCTGATTCTTCACTTTTGAAATAAATATAATTAAAAAAATTAATTCAAATTAAATTAAACCTTTAAATCTAAAGATATTCGAACATTCTTCAGATATATATATATGCAAGTCTTTGTTCTTGAAATCTTCAAATTTTCGAACCTTCATTTCTCATATCTTCGAACCTTCAAACCTTTGTTCCTCGAATCTTCAAATCTCCAAAAATTTGTTCTCTATATCTTAAAATTTCAAATGCTTGGTCCTTTGAATCTTTAAATGTTGTTGAATGTAATATTCAGCTTGAAGGCTTTGGTCTTCAAATAACTTTAGCTTGATCTCTAACAAAAAGACTATTTTATGGTTTGGTCTTCAACATATGACTTGATCTTCAATTGAATTTAGATCCAATATTGATATAAATATCTTCAAATATTCAAATATTCATTCTTCATATCTTCTAATGTTCAAAAGTTCATT